CAGTCGAAAGAGTCCATGCCTGATTTCCTCCTTTCCCTCCCAAAGAAGAAGGATCTTTCCCTGGAGGAAATTCAGAAGAAATTAGAAGCTGCTGAAGAAAGGCACAAGCCTCAGACTTGGAAGTCCTAAAGCAGCTCGCTGAGAAGCAGGAGCGTGAGAAAGAAGTACTTCAGAAAGCCACTGAGGAGAGCAACTTCAGCAAAGTGGCAGAGGAGAAACTGATCCATAAAATGGAAGCGAACAAAGAGGCTGCCAAGCTGGAGCATTCGCGAGAGAAGGACAAGCACGTCCAAGAGGTACGGAAGAACAAGAATCCAAAGACCCGGCAGATGAGCCCAAGACCGGCTGACTAATTTGTTCTGAAAACTGATTTTTCTCCCTGACCCCTTCTAAATATCCAAACACTGTACTGGCCAGTGTCATTTTACTTTTTCCCTCCTGCGGAATATCCTAGAAACTGATTTGGACCATGTAGGTAGATCCAGACAGGGAGATGTTTTAGGGGATCAAGGAGAGAGACTGAAAGTGTTTTACTTTTACTTTTTTTTTTTTTTTCCTTTTAAAGCATTGGTCTTTCTGTTTTCTTTTGTTTTTCGAGACAGGGTTTCTCTGTAGCTTTGGAGCCTGTCCTGGAACTAGCTCTTGTAGACCATGCTGGCCTCCAATTCACAGTGATCCACCTGCCTCTGCCGCCTGAGTGCTGGGATTAAAGGTGTGCGCCACCACCACGTGCAAGCGTTGGTCTTTCTAACGTAGCTATTTTTCTCGTTGCATCTTTTCCACTTCAGTACACTTGGTGTGCTGGGTTAATAGCTAGTACTGTATTGACACCGCGGAAGGCGTTATCGAAGAGTTTGCGAGCTTCTTGCAACCTGTTAGATGCTTAATATCTGTATAGCCCTGATTGTCCTGGAACTCTCTGTAGACCAGGCTGGCCTCGAATTCACAGAGATCCGCCTTCCTCTGCCTCCCGAGTGCCGGGATTAAAGTTGTGCACCAGCATCACCCAGCCATGATGGATTTTTATTATGTGTATGTTCACTTGAGTCCTGGGATTCTCTACAGCAGGAGTTACAGGCAGTTGTGAGACACTGTGTGTAGATACTACAAACTCTACCGTGTCCCCTAGAAGAGCAGGGAGCACTCTTAACCAGTGAGCCATCTCTCCAGACCTTTTTTTCTTCTTTTTTTTTCTTTTTCCAATACAGTCCCATACCAAAGAATATAAACTCCAGACAAGGGATTTGCTCATTGAACCTAACAGTGTATCTATCTTCAACTGACACTAGTATGGCGGTGATGGTGGCTCACACCTGTAATCTCACAGCATTTGAAAGGCAGGAGAATTACTGCGGGTTCAAAGGCCAGGATAGGTTACAGACACCCTGTCTTAAACTTAAAATACCCCACCCCCAAAACCTGTTAATTATCAAAGTGGCAGAGAAAGGACAATGTAAAGTTTTAGGCTCCTATTACGTGGGAGCAGCAAGATACCCTCCAGGAATGGGAAAAGGAAGAGGCACGGCCCAGAGATGGCGTCAGACTACAAGGCCTCTTGAATAATTCACAATCATAACAGTGTAGCCTCAGGAAGGGCTGGGACACAGCCAGGACAACAGAAAGAAATAGGAGGTAAATACTGCCCCAAAGGGGCAGTTTTTGAAGACTAGATATTTCCTATGCCAAGGCTCTTTAAAGAGTAAACTCAGAGAATCTTGATCCGCTTCCGTGGGATGTACTCAATGTGTATACCCCACTCGCCCTCCCCTCGGCCCCCACACCACATTAGCAGTGCGTGGACACACAGAGACAGCGGCGCATGCGCCACCCTCGCCTCACCGCGCAACCCTTGCCGCAGTGTAAAGTCTACAGGTAGACCAAGAACAAACTTAGGCTTCACGTGGGATACGCCGGTCAGACAGACAACGCTGTCCCAGGAGAACCAATGAGAAGTAAGAGATCCCACCTCCTGACAAAACCCTCAACTCCTTTTCTAAATTGCCTGCGCACTCCGGTACTGCAGCTCTTCCCGCGCAGGCTCCGAGGGACGCTCCCCTCGCGCCCCGCCCACCTCACGCCCTGCCCCGTCCTCGAGACTCGGGCCTCGCCGCACCTCCCCACCCCACCCATCCGTTCCCCCGCCCTCTCGACTCACGCCCCCCCATCCCACCCTGCCCCGCCCTGCCTTCCGCCCCGCCCCTGCCTCTATCACGGCCCGCCCACTCGCCTTTTGGCTGCTGGGATTACCTTAGCCTCCGGTTGGCGCTGCTGTTTCTCCAATTAGACCTCAGGCCGAATTAATTCTGGGTTTGATGTCTTTACTTTTCCCTTCCCAGCATTTGCACTGAGCCATTTCATTATCGTCCTTAGTTGCTGTGGTGGTTTGTGTTTGTCACCTAGGACACTTGACACTCATCTGATTAGCCTGTGGAGCATATTTTAATAGCTGATTGATGAGAGAGGGCCCAGCCCACTGGGTGGCGCTGCCCGTGGACAGTGGTCGTAGGTGTAAGAAAGCAGGTGGGGCAAAGCCTTCATTTCCCCATGGCCTCTGATTAAGTTTCTGCCCTAAGCTCCTGTCCTGATGATGGGTGGTGTCTGGAAGTTATAAAAGGAAAAGAACCCTTTCCTCCCCAAGTTGCTTTAGTTATGGTGTGTATCACAGAAGCAAACCAGAACAGTAGCAAAGATACTCTGTTTTATTAACAGAGAAAAGGTAAAATCTCAGTGCGTACACTATTGTAGCATAGGCAGACAGCTTAAGTCTGGTCCATGGAGTTCATATGACAGAAAGGAAAGAGCCTACTCCATCATGCTGTTCTCTGACATCCACACAGTACATCCTGGCAACTGCACACACACACACACACAATAAAGGAGTAATACAACAAAATAAGTTTAATTTTTAAAAAAGGGGTAACAGATGGGCCAGATGGCTCAACTATTGCTGGGACCCACGTAAACATGGAAAGAGAAAACTAACTCTACAAAGTTGTCTTCTGTTCTCCACACACATGCCATCGCCCCTCCCCACCACCATACGCACATTGAACCATTTTAAAAAGAGGTGAGTTGAGTGTGCTTGTGCAAGTTTTCATCCCAGCACTTGTGAGGCAGCGGCAGGCAGAACTCTGTGAGTTCGAGGCCAGCCTGGTCTACATAGTTTGTTCTAGTCCAGGTTACATAGTGAAACTTTGTCTCAAAGAAGAAAAAAAGAGAGCTGAAGAGAGTTGGTTCAGGGGGCTGGAGAGATGGCTCAGTGGTTAAGAGCATTACCTGGTCTTCCAAAGGTCCTGAGTTCAATTCCTGGCAACCACATGGTGGCTCACAACCATGGTCTGGTTCTCTCTTCTGGCCTGTAGGCATACACACAGACAGAATATTGTATACATAATAAATAAATATTTAAAAGAGAGAGAGAGAGTTGGTTCAGCAGTTAAGAGCTCGGGGTTCAGTTCCCAGCATCCATGTGGCAGCTCACGATCATCTGGAACTTTACTTCCAGGGATCTGACACCCTCACACAGACATACATAAAGCAAAATACCAATATATGTAATTAAAAATAAATCAGTCTTTAAAAAGAAAAAAATCAAGTTTTTATTTATGTTGTTTTTTGAGACACAGTTTCTCTGTGTTGCCCTGGCTGTCCTGGATCTTGCTTTGTAATTCAGACAGGCCTTGAGTTTACAGAGATTTGCCTGCCTTTGCCTCCTGAATGCTGGAATTAAAGGCCTGCTCCACCACTGCCTGGCAACAATCAAGTTCTTATTCAAACAAAGTTGGTAACACACAGCTTTAATCCCAGCATTTGGGACACAGAGCCAGGCGGAGTTCTATGAATTCAAGGTTTGCCTGGTCTACAGATTAAATTCCAGGGCAAAAAAAAAAAAAAAGTCTGGAGAGATGGCTCAGTGGTTAAGATAAGAGCACTGGCTGCTCTTCCAGAGGTCCTGAGTTCAATTCCCAGCAACCACATGGTGGCTCACAACCATCTGTAATGAGATCTGGCATATGGGCATACATGGAGGCAGAATGTTGTATACATAAGGAAGGAAGGAAGGAAGGAAGGAAGGAAGGAAGGAAGGAAGGAAGGAAGAAAGAAAGAAAGAAAGAAGCTCTGGTTGGAGATGCTAGAGTGTTTGATCAGCACACAGCTGTGGAATTGTGGCTGCATAAACTAGGTGGGGTCAGGCCCCATGGAGAACAGGTCCTAAGCAACACTTCCTGGAATTCGGGGAGTCTAAAAAAGCTGCTAAAAAGCCTGCTTAGCTGCAACATTCAGTGTGCAGCCCCGCTCATTCTAAGCATACTCCTCTGGAAACAGACCTGTGACGACTACTCTTTTATGCATAAGGAGCAGGTGTAGAGGAGCTGAGTTACTGATCTCAGCGTGATCATCACACAGTAGTGATTGGGTTGCCAGGACTCAAACACTGTGTTATCTCCCAGAAACTATACTTGAACATTGTCAGAATCCAAGGTAAGTAATCAATGTTCCAGAGGGTGTGTGGCAAAGACTCCACTGTCACAATCATAAAAGCGTAAAAGGACTCGGTCAACAAGCACAAGGCTCCTGATGCCTATTAAGTGGCTCACTGGGCTTATCTTACTGATCCGGTAATGCCTCTGTGAGGTGGTGCCGTCGTCTCTGTACTGCGGTGAGGAAAGGGGCTCAGAGACTGGCACCAGTCAGACCACTCGGTGTGTGTCACTGCCAGTAAATCTTACCACGGACAGCCCTCGTCTTGGGTCCAGCGAAGGTTTCACTTTGCACAGCACTCCAGATCCGAGCTTCTTCATCAACCTCCCAGTCTTGTGTGGAAAGATGAATAGCTCAGCTTTCCAGTCAGCAGCTGATGACTGATGACGCAACATGGGAATCAGGAAGTGCCAGTGGGCAGGCATCGCTTCCTCCCTCAGCCCTGCCACCTTCTCCTCCAGGAACCCTTTGTGGAGAGGTCTTCAACCACACAGGGTCCCTCTTCCTCTACACACACCTGCCAACAGTTCTCTCTGTCTGCCTCTGGACTCTGTGCAATTGCCTGACTAGTGGGCCTCATAGTCTCTTTAGGGCAAAGAGTGTGTGGATGTGGAGTTTTCGTTCGTTCGTTTGTTTGTTTTCAAGACAAGATTTCTCTGTGTAGCTTTAGAGCCTGTCCTGGCACTCACTCTGTAGACCAGGCTGGCCTTGAACTCATAGAGGTCTTCCTGCCTCTGCCTTCTGAGTACTGGGATTAAGGGCGTGCGCCGCCACATCTCGGCTCTGTGGGGGTATTTTGTCTGTCTGTTTGTTTGTAATTATGTATGTATATCTGTGTGGGTATGTGCATGTGAGCACAGGGTCCTTGGAGGCTCTAAGTCCCCTCTGGCTTGAAAATAGGAGCCTTTACCCAGCTCCTATTCCACACAAATCTTTGTTCTAGCCTCATCCTAAAGCTGCCAACCACAGAGGCCTCCCAGAGTTTCACAAGGTATGAAATGAATGAACAGCCAGAAAGAACCCAGCTGCCCATTACAAGCATGGCTTCAATTGCTTCACTTCCTCTATCACGTGACCGTGTTAGTCATCACATGACTTTGTCCTCCCCATTTAAGCCGGAATTAACTCGCTGTGCTAGTCCTACAGCTATGTACCTGTCTCCATCCCTGTTTTTATCTCACAGATCCAGCTCTCCAAGGCTCTGGAACTGCCGCAATCTTCTCCTTATCCACTGACTCTGAGGAGCTCGTCTTCAAGACCTCTGCAAGGTAAGCAGGCAGGGCTGCTGTTTGCTCTGTCAACTTTGCTTCTGGAATTCTGCTCATCCAGACTACAGAATTCAAAGAATGACAGATTTTTTTTCTAAATTCTGAGTGAGGCACAGATGGAGAGAGGGCTGCAGGTTGAAATCTGTGGGTGGGGGAGGGGGGAGAGTGAAGAGAGTCCTCTTTGGGGTGAACAGAAGCCTCACGAGCCCAGTGGCTGCAAAGAGGAGCATCCAGAGCCATTGAGCACTGTCCAGTCACTAATAAAGATGCAAACTATGTTATGAGCATCCACAGGCAGCTAAACCCCGGCCAGGAGAGGGGTTGTGAGGTAAAGAAGGGCTTACCTTCTAGTCATTCCTTGTTCTGTTCTCAGGAGTGTCTCAAACACCTGGGTGGGGCAGGTGTCATGGCTGCCAGGCTTATAGGATTCTTCCTACTTCAGGCGGTAACACGGGCGTATGGTAAGTGAGTCAAAGAGGGGGGGTGGCACCTTGAACAATTCCCCTGCCCCACAGTCCTTTGGAAACCTCCCACTATGATGGAGAACCTTCAGTAGGGGCTCTATAACTCTTTTAGAATGCCTGAGACAACTATGGGCTGGAAGTACAGTGGAGGGAGTTCAAACACATTATTGCTCGGTCTCCTTGACTGGCACAACCACTCCCCTTGTCCACCCACTTTGATGCTTGCCTCTGTTTGTGCCCCTGCCTTCTAGGTGCCCAACCCTGCATCCCTAAAAGTTTTGGCTACAGCTCAGTGGTCTGTGTCTGCAATGCCACATACTGTGACTCTCTTGACCCCCTGACCTTACCTGCTCCTGGTACCTTCAGCCGCTATGAGACCACGCGGAGTGGGCGACGAATGGAGCTAAGTGTCGGGTCCATCCAGGCCAATCGCACTGGCACAGGTGGCTGCTTTAGTTCTCATCCTAAGCCTGGCTGGGTCCCCTGACTCAAAGTCACAGCAGTTATCAGGATGTTCTCTGTACACTGATTACTCCCCGTCTTTCCCTGCGGTGCCCTCAGGACTACTGCTGACCTTGCAGCCAGAAGAGAAGTTCCAGAGAGTGAAAGGATTTGGAGGCGCAATGACGGATGCTGCCGCTCTCAACATCCTCGCCTTGTCTCCCTCCACCCAGAACCTGCTGCTCAAATCCTACTTCTCTAGTGAAGGTAAGGAAGGGCAGGACAAGACTACACACTATGATTGATACCTTTTTTTTTTTTTTAAAGATTTTTATTTATTTATTATGTGTACAATACAGTGTTCTGCCTCCATATGTGACTGCATGCCAGAAGAGGGCACCAGATCTCATTACAGATGGTTGTGAGCCACCATGTGGTTGCTGGGAATTGAACTCAGGACCTCTGGAACAGCAGTCAGCATCCTTAACCTCTGAGCCATCTCTCCAGCCCTATTTTTTTTAATTTTTATTACGTTTTATTATTTATTGTGTGTACTGTGCATGGGTGTGGAGATCAGAGAACAATTTTCAGATATCATCTTCTTCCACCATGTGGATCATGGGTATTGAATCAGGTCCTCTGGCTTGGCACCAGGCACCCTTACCCACTGAACCATCCTGCCAGCCTTTTACTCTGACTTTCATGTTCTTCCCTGTCGTCTGCCTCCTCCCTTCTTTCTCCCCCTCCCTCTGAGGGGTCTCATGTATTCCAGATTCAGATCCACTATGTAGTCAGTGCTGATCCCCCTGCCTCTGTCTGCTGAGAACTGGACTGTAGATGTGTGCCATCACACCGTTTACCCAGTGCTGGCGCTCAAACCTGGGGCTTCACGCATTCTTGGCAAGTGCTCTGCCGCCTGAGCTACTTCCCCATCCTGCCTCTCTCTCTCTTTCCTCTTCCTCTGTCCCTTCCCACCTTTCTTTCTGTGTATCAGGCTTGTCTAGAACACTCTATGCAGCCGTGACTGATTTCAAACTCTCCCTTACCTGGTCTCCCAAGCCCTGGGATCACAAGCATTGCCCCCAAGTGTTGCTGCCTCAGTGCTACTGAAATGGGATCACCTTTTGGATATTTTGCTAAGTACTTACTGCTCAGAAGGGGTTTCTCACTCAGGTTCTGGTTTCCATGACTCCACACCTACTCCCTGGGTTCCCTTTGGAGAAGGGACCATATTGAATGAGAACCTATTGAGGACTAACACGTGATTAAAGTCAATTTTCATGTTCACCTTTTTGGTTGTTTTTTTTTTCCCCCTGTCTTTTGTTTTTCAAGACAGGGTTTCTCTGTGTAATAGTCCTGGTTGTCCTGGAACTCACTCTGCAGACCAGGCTGACTTTGAACTCACAGAGATCCATCTGCCTCTGCCTCCCAAGTGCTAGGATTAAGGGTGTGCTCTACAACTGCCAGGCCTCCCTTTATTTATTTATTTATTTGAAACCTTGTAGCTCCGGCTGGTCTGCTCACATGGATCTGGCAACCTCTGCCTCTAGAGGGATGGGACTACCGTCACGGTGCCACCAAACTCAGCTCCATTCTCTACTGATTCAGACTTCCCTATCTTGGGCATCCTTTTCTGCAGGAATTGAATATAACATCATCCGGGTACCCATGGCCAGTTGTGACTTCTCCATTCGTATCTACACCTATGCTGACACCCCTAATGACTTCCAGCTATCCAACTTCAGCCTCCCAGAAGAAGACACCAAGCTCAAGGTGAGCATTCTGGCTGCTTCAGTCCTATTGATATTGCTGTCTGAGGCTGAGGGCCGGGAAGGGCCAGGTTAGAACTTTCTGCAGGTCATGTAGAACCCTTCTGCAGCCTACTTGCCCTGGGGTAGAAGGGTGGGGGCTGGTGGTTGGACCTGATGCACTGGTTGTGCTAGTTTGTGTTCCAATTCTGGGTGCCTCTCTCCTCACGACATCTCTCTCCAGATACCCCTGATTCACCGAGCCCTGAAGATGTCCCCACGCCCCATCTCACTCTTTGCCAGTCCCTGGACATCTCCCACTTGGCTCAAGACCAACGGAGCAGTGAATGGGAAAGGGTCCCTCAAGGGACAACCAGGGGATATCTATCACCAGACCTGGGCCAATTACTTTGTCAAGTAAGGGACCATCGGAGCCATGGGGTCTGTACCAACCTCTTTGGGACACCAGGGTCTATGTCCTACCCCTTGGTTTGCTCCACTTCCAGATTTGCGTCTCAGCTCATCTTCCTACGTTCTGTGTCTTTCAGATCGTAAATTCCCAAGGTCTCCATCCACTTTCTTGCCTTTGATCACATGTGCCCTTTCTTGCCAGGTTTCTGGATGCTTATGCTAAGTACAAGATAAAATTTTGGGCAGTGACAGTGGAGAATGAGCCTTCTGCAGGCCTCTTGACTGGGTACCCCTTCCAGTGCCTGGGCTTCACTGCTGAGCATCAGAGAGACTTCATTGCCCGCGACCTAGGGCCAGCGCTTACCCACAGTTCTCACGATGTCCAGCTATTCATGCTAGATGATCAGCGTTTGCTGTTGCCCCGCTGGGCACAGGTGGTAAGGTCTAGAACTTCCCAGGGTGCCCCAGTGAACCCCAAGTCACCATCCAAAATGTCTGGTTACAATTTTAGGTTACCTTCCCTATGCCAGAGTTGAGATAGGATTTTGCTATCTACTCTGGGCTGGCCTTGAAGTTGTCACCCTCCTGTCTCCTAAGTGCTGGCATTATAGGCATGAGCCACCACACCTGACTTCTTCCAGGCCAACTAAGAGCTTTGTAGACCAGGCTGGCCTTGAACTCATAGAGATTGACTTGTCTCTGTCTCCCAAGTGCTGAGATTAAAGGCACACAACACCATACTCTGGCCTCTCAATATCAATATTATGTCCATGTAGGCGTAGGTGTGGCCCTTAGATTCACCAACAGCAGCTGAGTTTACTGTGGCCTTTGCTTTGTTTTGGTTTTTGAGACTGAGTCTCTCACCGATTAAGCTAGGTTTGCTACCCCTGAGCCCAGTGATCCACCTGTCCCTCTCTGCCCCATGCTAGGAGCACAAGGCCTTGAGTGGATATGGTGCTAGATCAGACACAGGTCCTCAGCTGCATGGCAAGCACTTTGCCAGATCCAAAAAGACTTGTGGAACACCCTAGGCTGATCTGGTTGCCCAGGACACTACCATCTCTGGACTCCAGGGCTTGACGGATCCCTATGGCTGTCTTGTCACTTTAACTCCCAGGTCTTCCATCCTGCCAGCCACTTCCTTTCCCTTCAGAGCCCTCTGGGCAGGACTTGTGGCCAGGGATCCCCATTCCTAATGTTCCCTCCTTCTCTCTGTAGGTGCTCTCAGACCCAGAGGCAGCTAAGTACGTTCATGGCATCGCTGTGCACTGGTACATGGACTTTCTGGCTCCAGCCAAAGCCACTTTAGGGGAGACACACCGCTTGTTCCCCAACACAACGCTCTTTGCTTCAGAGGCCTGTGTGGGTTCCAAGTTCTGGGAACAGAGTGTCCGGCTGGGCTCCTGGGGTCGAGGGACGCAGTACAGCCACAGCATCATCACGGTGAGTTTTACTGTTCCCCTCTCCAACACAGACTACCTGGGATAGACAAACAGGCCTTCCTTCTCAGCTGGCTTGGCAGCTTGCTCCTTGAGGCAACTGTGGGATGCCAGGGTTATCATTTCCTTCAAGGTGTATATTCCCATTAGTCCTTTTTTTCATGTCTGGGGCCAGACAGCTGTATCTGCTTCCAATTTCCCAGTTCCAAGATGCCTTCATCCTCACAATCCTCTTCCCAGGATTAAGCCATTCCTAGCCCCAGCTCCCCTATGTGATTCTCACCTATCTTCTCTAGGGATACCCATCTTTAAGTTAACTTTACTTCCACATGCTTCCAATCTAGAACCTCCTTTACCACGTGGCTGGATGGACCGACTGGAACCTCGCTCTGAATCCCGAGGGAGGGCCCAACTGGGTCCGCAACTTCGTTGACAGCCCCATTATCGTAGACATCCCCAAAGACACATTCTACAAACAGCCCATGTTCTACCACCTTGGCCACTTCAGGTGAGCGGGGGTGGGCACCCGCACTCTGTAGCAGGCTTACACCATCCTACACCATGAAGGAGCAGGAAGGTGTTCAGGGTGGCAACCCTGGGAGAGGCACACTCCTCCTCTATTGCACCATGTAGGCAGGAAGTGACTAGGTGGTACCAGAGTCACAGGTAATCCCTGGATGACTGATGCAGGACAGGGCAGAGCCCAGCAGCACCGGAGTCAAGGGAGTCTGGCTGCCCAGGAACCTGGCATCTCCCAGCCCCCGCCCGGGTCTCCCACGTAGCTGGACTCTAGTTGAACATCCCCAGGCAGCTTTGGTAGGTCTCAGAAGCGGAGACGATGCTGGGGGACCTTGATGGGACAGTGCCCTCAGGGTGGTCCCTGATGATGCCCGCCTTTGCATTCAGCAAGTTCATTCCTGAGGGGTCCCAGAGAGTAGGGCTGGTGGCCAGTGAGAAGAATGACCTGGACGCGGTGGCACTGATACGCCCTGACGGCTCTGCAGTTGTCGTCGTGTTAAACCGGTAAGCTGGGTGCAAGGGCAGGTCTGGGCCTGAGCAGCGTTGGGGTTCAGCAGGTTGATGCTCAGCTTTTCTTCTCCCCAGCTCCTCCAAGGATGTTCCTCTTACCATCAGTGACCCTGACCTGGGCTTCCTGGAGACCATCTCACCTGGTTACTCCATTCACACATACCTGTGGCGCCGCCAGTGATGGAACAGCACGGACATTAAAGGGAGTTAGCTCACGTGCTACGGGTGACTTCACAGTGGCACAGGCGTGGGCCAAGGGTTGGGTGTCTTGTTCTCCCTTCTAGTATGTGCTAGGGGTCGGGAAGCCCTAGTGTCCTCACAATTCCCCATGCATGTACTAGCTGCATGAGGAAACTGGACCGAGGCCTTGGGTGAGTTCACTGTCTGTAAACACAAGACAGGGATGGGGAAGACTTGGGAAGGTGGACCTATGTAGAAAAGCAATGTAAGTCAGTATAAGGACTAAAGCAGTTTTAGAACCCAACTGTCAGTGGGGAGGCCTACACCTATGCATTCCTACTGCGGCAGCTAGGAAAATGGCAGACCCATAACAAAGAAAATGTTTGGTTTCAGTTAGTGTGAACAGCTTTATTCTAGGTATAGCACCCTATATTTGGGTGCTCCAACAATGGGGCATCTGGAATGCATGATAGTAGAAAAATCAGTCCTAAGAGCATGAACACATCATTCCTCTTCATCCTCCTCAGCCATGCCCAAGGCCCGGGCACTTGGGGCCCGAGCAGGAGATGCCCGCTGGATAGAAACAATGCCACTGAGCAATGCATAGCCCACCATGGCTGCCAGCCCTGCCAGCACAGATAGAATCTGGTTCCGGCGTCGGTATGGCTCCTCCTCGGTCTCAGGGCCTGCTGGCATCTGGCGTGGAGGTGGTACCTCAGCTAGGGAACAAGAAAGGAAAGTGGGCAAGGGAGCTAGCCCTTGGACCCCAGCCCCTTCTCCCTATCCATTCCTTACCTACATCCCGGGGAAAGTAGAGGCTAAGGATGTGGGTACAGTAGACACAGAGATTGTGTAGCCCTCGAAGGTGGGCCTGCAGCTTCCCACTGGGCAGCTTTGCCTGCAGCAACAGGACCAAATGGCTAAAAACAAAGGCATCCAGGGAGGCAGGGCTGGAGAGACAGAAAAGGGTGGGATGGAAGTGGACAACCGTGCAGAGGGTCAGCATGGAGCAAGAGGAAAATGGCCCGCTTTGGTGGAGTAAGCTCTGGGCAGCAGGGGTCACCAGGGAAGGGCAGGACACCTAGTTCTGGATTTGGTAAGGGGAGTCTTCCCCCAGGTGGCGCCAGCCTCGCCCTGAATGAAGCTCTATCCCAGGGCTGCATAAAGGACACATTGAGTGCCCCACAGCCCAACAGTTCCCTCCTGTGCCTGGCTGCTCTCCCTTTCCACCCTCCTGTGCCACCAAGGAGCTTCTAGTCCCATATGCAGTCCCTGACCAGAGTCAGTGCCTGTCCTAAGAACTTCTTGTTCACACCCCAGTTCAGGCTTTGACACCTGAAGCTGGATTTTTTTCACACATCCATTTGTTCCTCTTGGAGTTTAAGACTCACGCATCGCCAAAGAAGAACTTCTGAGAGCCCAGGCGCTGAGAAAGAAGGGTTAGGCACTCCCGAGCCTCTTGATAGAGCTGTAGGGAAGGACACAGGAATGTGGCTGGGGAGCTGTGACACTTCCCATTGTGGACACTCTTCATTCTTAGCCCTTATCTTTGGCATTCATCTCATTTGTTCCAATGCTACCTCTTTCTCTAGTTCTTCCTCATTCTCTGGTCTGTGCTCGCCACACAGCAGCTGCAGCCGCTCCATGTACTTGCGTTGCATGCGGCCAGGCAGGAATAAGTTGAGGGGAAAGGGCATAGCCTCTGCATACCACTTTCGGGTCACTTCCACATAGTTCTTGGCATCTATCCAAAAAGTATGTATCTGGATCGGGCAGACAGAAGAGTAGAAAAATGTGAGCCCGTGCACCTGCCTATCGTGGGTGGAATTCTAAGTCCCATGTTGCTCTGATGTGTGTGTCTGCCGCCTTTCTCACAGACAGTGAGTTCATGCTAGGTCCAGACGTACTCACCAGCACAGGGAGGAGTTTTTCCTCCAGCAGAGACATGAAGGCTAGGGTATCCGCTCCTTGCCGAGCTGACAAATCATAGTCAGCGTTATACTTCTGTGGAAGAAATGTTTGTGAGGTGAACACTAAAGGAGTGCAGGGCACGCTCTCAGAAGGGATGGTACCCCACACCAGCCCTGAGCATAGCAGAGGGAGAATCGGGAGCTTTGCCTGCTGAGGACTCCTTGCCTCAGCCCAGCCAGTAGCCTGTTGCTGTTGGCAGAAAGCCTGGGCTTTGGAGCCCACTGGCTGTTGAGGTCCTGCACCCACTGGGGGAAGAAAGGAGGCCTGGCCGCACAGTGGGAGCAGCTCCCAGAGTTTCCACGGAAAGCTGGCAGCATGCCGCTGACAGCCAACTTTCTAACAGTGGCTTCCTGAGCCAAACACCGCAGAGCAGTGGAGTGGAGCTCACTGCGGGCTGGGCCTCAGCCTGTGATGCAGAAATTAGGGGGCACCTCCTTACCCTCCTTGAACCCAGTAAATTTATGCCCAGCCACCCCCACCTCCAACTTGTCTGTCATGACTAAGTTCTTGGCTCTCTTCTGCTTTACTCAAAGTCTGTGTGCCATCACTGCACATACATCCTGCCAGGACTCTGGTGTCTTAGTGGGGCCTACTTTTCCAGGTTTCAGTCTGGGGCTTAGTAGCTCCCTCCATGTACTAAAAAGCTTTGTCCCCACACAACCTCTTGAGTATGATACTTAAATTTCCCGAACCTCACTTTCTCCTTTATGGAATGAGATAGTAATCCTTTTCTCTCCATGTGGCTGGGTTTGGAAATAATTTAGGAAAAAACACTTTGGAAGCTGGAAAGGCTGTATTTATATGCAAGGAGTCAAGGCAGGAACCCAAGAACCTTGGCTTTTATCTGGATTCTATTTCTCTAGGCCTCTAAGCTTCCATTACTTTCCCAGCTCCCTGGAAAGTAGAGATGAGAAAGAGGCTCCTATTTCTGATGGTATGTTCCCTCCTGGAACAACACCATGATGCCAGACCTTTTAAAGCATGCTGGCTAAGCCCCCATGTTTTTAAGAGTTCTGGTTGGTGAGATGGTTCAACAGGTAGATGTACTTACTAGCAAGCTTGATAACATGAGTCCCATCCCACGAGCCCACATGGAAGAAGAGGACTTATTCCCACAAACTATCCTCTGATCCCCCCAAGCATGCTGCAGCAAGCGTGCACACCCCCCCAACACACAAGATAAATAAATGTTTAAAAACAAAAACAAGAGTTTATTGCTTTTTTGTTGTTGTTGTTGTTTTAAGACAGGGCTTCTCTATGTAGTCTTGGCTGTTCTAGAACTCACTTTCTAGACCAGGCTGGCCTTGAATTCACAGAGATCTACCTGCAAATTACTTGTCCCACATCACAGTCAAAGGCAGAAGAACAGAACTGAGGTCTCCCAAGCTCTTACAATTCTCTTTCAAATTCCTCAGCCTGGCACTGAGCTTTGTTCATCTTGAATCCTCTCTCCAGCATAATTTGACCCTGAAACAAACTATCCTTAGAAATCCCTTCTTTCCTTTCTCTCTTTCCCTAGCCTGACCCCTGCTCTTTTTTTTTCTTTGACAGGGTCTCACTATCTAGCCCTGGTTGGCCTGGAACTCACTATATACATCAGGCTGACCTTCAACTCACAGAGATTTGCCTGCCTCTGCCTTTAAGGGATTAAAGGTGTGTACCGTCAAACCTGACTTTTTTCTCTTTTTGAGACAAGGTCTCATGTATCCCAGGCTGCCCTCAAACACATTATATAGCCAAAGATGGTTCTAAATTTCTCATCATCCTGCTTCTACCAAGTACTGAGATTATATGCATGTACCCCCATGCCTATTTCTATTAAAAGTTCCTTTCTAGTTCTGCCTTCAGGGCCTCCCAAAGCCAACTGCCATTCTCTATTCCTTTTTATTCCCCATGTCTCATCAGCCTCCCTCATTTTCTCCCACCCTACCCAACATTCAGAAGAAACTGGATCTTAGTCTGCCCCTTCCCCACAGTCCTCTACGTTCAGTATCTGGTTATCACAGTGACACCGTCTTCTTCACACCATCCTTGGTGCTCTGGAACACCCTTATCTCACTTGGCATGTGTTTGGTGTGCAACAAACGTTACAGCGAATGAACTGGATTTCATTGTCACCCCCACCAAGTCACCTACCTCTTTACGAAGATGAGTGATGATCTTGTGTGGTACTGAGATAACCTCTCCATTACTGGTTCGAAGGGCAGGCAGAGTTCCTGATATTGAGAAAGAAGTATGTCCACAGATCATAACTTGCCTACTCCTGCTCCGCCCCTCACAATTCCCTTCCTTATAGGGCCACTGTATACCTGAAGGGCTCTGCCAAGGGTTGCTGATCTTGTGTACCTTCAGGGGTGCACCTGTAAATCTGGTATAGGTCTGCAGGGAAGGAAGCAGAAGGGAGACAGGCCCGGGTACGGCTTCCCAAAGTAACCAAGAAAAAAAAATATTTCCTTAGACCATTATGTGCCATGAGCTATACTTGGCACTTTATACCAAGAGGAGAGGTGGAAGGAGGAGCCATTCCCATTCAGAAAGGGCCAACGGAACTAGGTGAGATTACGGGCATGTTCATTATGTCCATTCCCACAATTCCACATCAGGAAAATCTACCTTCCCTTCTGCTGCCTACACTCTAAAAGCTTTTCCTCACTACTATCCCTTCCCCTGGAAGTACTGACTTACTCTGGCAATCTCTGTACACTGTTCCTGCTTTTATATCAAATACCTGAGCGTTTTATTTTCTTACATGTTTGCCTTTCTGTAAACAACATTGCAAGGCAATGTCTGACATCTGTAAGAAGCATAGTAAACGCTTGTATAACCCCGAGAGGTTGAGCGAAGTGAAGCAAACCTGTTTAATTACAGAGCTTTCCCGGACTCTGGCCCGTCTGTGGGCTGTCTGCTCTACAACTACACTCAATCAATTCTTAGTGAACAAGGGGGTGAAGGGGGCTGAGGGGCAGACACGCCAAGTCTAAGATTACCGAGATAGTCCAGAAGGGATTACCCCAAGGTCACACAGACAATAAATGGATTAGCAAGGTCTAAAAGGCATCTCTGAAATCCCGATGAGACCTGCTTCCACTGCTACACGAATTTATCCTAGGAAATCATAGCGTAGTCACTGAGCCCATTATCGGCCTTTGATTGCCTCAGTTTCTCTCAATACGCTCGTGTTTGGGCTCCTGGCAGAGTTCGGGCCCCCTCCCCGGGTCTCCAGGGCGTAGCAGAGGACGCCTGCACCATCCCTCACCAGCACGGCCAGACTGTCCAGGTCCACAGACGGCAGCCCCCAGCCCCCTGACCAGCAGAACAGCTCCATGGGCGCCGCCATCTTGCACACTCTTTGACCCGGAAGCAGCTCCCCAGAAGTGCCCTCCTTCCCTCGGCAGGACCCGCCCCCGGTCGCCGCCTCTCCGGCCACTGGGGGCTGGGGGTCGGGGGAGGCCCCAGGGGAGGCGCGGTTTCTCGCGGCCTGAGAGGCGGCGGGAGTGCCGGAGGTGGGGCCGCGGACTTCTGAGGCGCGCGGTCGCGGGCTCATCCTGAGGCGGCCCCGGCCAGGGGGCAGGGCTGCCGTCCAGACGCGCCAGGGAGAGTCGCGGCGCCTGTGCCGAAAGCAATCGCGAACCGCCGCAGACACGGAGGGCTTGGGAGAGGGGAATCGGGTGCGGCTCGGCGGGCTCTGGGGGCTCTTGCCAAACTGTACGTGGCCTCGACAACCCCGGGCCCCCTCAGGTCTCTGCCCCGAGCGGAGGTTGCGGGGGGGTCCCCCGGGCCGCATGTTTTCCACAGCGCGTTATGTTTGGAGCGGACCTCGCGCTGCCTGTCGCCATGGAAACAAAACAGGGGCGGTGGCGGCGCCCGAGCTGAGGCCCGGCTGGGGCCTGAGTGGGGGGAAGGGAGTGCGACTCGCGGGCTGCTGCCTTCCGAGGAGCTCTCCTGGTTCGTCCCGGACAAGGCCTTCCCGCGGTACTCGGTGTCCACCAGTCCTCCTCGCCCCAGTCCTCTGGTGATGTCTTCCCCTTTCCTTATTTCTTCATTTTTGACCTCACTGACCAGTTTAGACTCCATCGTCTAGTTCCCTTCGGACGCTTCCAGACTTCCATTTTTCCCAAGAATGAGAGAAAATGGAGGAATGGGCACATGTCATAAAAAGTATTTTTTTTGACACCGTAATAAAAAGTATCTGTTATGCCACAGCAATAAGCCCCATGTCGTGGGCATCCTTTAGGTACTGTAGCAAGCTAGTTTCGGCCAAGTCCCTTGCTATCCTTCTCCATCAACTGCCTAGAAACCCCATAGCAGGGTTTTCTGCCTTCTCCAGTCGCGGCTTCCACAGGACAGTAGCATTTGGTAGCGCTCTAAGTTGAAAGCCCCCAAGAACCAGATGTCAGAGTAAAGGGAGGCACCTAAAAGATGACCTTTATGGAGGAGCAGGAGGCAAGCAAGGCTCTAGGACTCTCCCAGTGCCCCTGGTTCCTAGAGCTGATGAAGCCTCCAAGGTGATTGGCAGCTCTTTGTTTCAGCCCCCCCGGACCCGCCGGGGGGCGCCCCCCAGCTGGGGGCGCAGGGCCTGCGCCCCCCGCCCGCTCCTGGGGGGCGGCCTAGTCTTTTTCCCTCCCAGTCGCCTGCCTGCCAGGGGTAGTGAACCGGCTAAGCGGCATGGAGAAGCCAGAACTTTGGGGGGCCCTGGCTCTTCTCCTCCTTTGCTCTTACTCATGTGCCAGTCAGGACCTTCAGGGTAAGCCTGCGCCCAACCTCTTTGACACCTCTTTGTCTCCTTTCTTTTGCGCCCAGCAAAATAGCAGACCACATGTGGGTTTGAGGAGAGAGGGAGGAGTCCTGAAATTGGGTTGGAGAGAAAAGTTACACTCGGGAGAGTAAAAAGTTGGCGATAATGTGGGAGGAGTGGGCACCAGAGGGTGGATGAGTGCAAACTGGCCCAGTGTCGGGCGTTAAGACCAGGATGGACGCAGAATCTGAATGCCAGCACTGCATGGTTTGTCAGCGCATCAGCAGGACAGTCCGGGAAAGCAGCCTGATGATGGTTGCTCTATGTGGGACCCTGGGTTTGGTCCCCCCTCCCCTTTATCCTGACTCTCGGTTATTAAAAGATAGGGAGTGGGGTGGGGATTGAGCGCTTGAGCTCTCCCGGAGGTCTGGTGCTGGAATGGCTAATGGGTGGTGTAGGAGAGGTAGCTGAAGCAGATGACACAAGCAAAGATTCTTTCCTGGCTGGAGGGGAAACCACAGATTGGCCAGGACACAGGAGGCAGAGGCAGAGGCGCTGGGTCCTACATTCCCGGGGGAGGGTGTGTGGGGCGTGGGTGGGGGCTAAACAGGGTTGGAAGAGTCAGAGCCTTTGTGGACAACTGTCCTTATCTAGACACACGTGATGAGCCTCTAGGATGGGAGGAATGGCACCAGGATTTGAAGTGAGCAAAACCCAGTAGCCGAGAGAAGCTACCTCTGGTGTCTGAGCTGTGGACACCAGGTGCCACACCAGTCTGATCGGCAATGTCTCACTTGCGCCACCTGGTGGGACATACGAAGTTTGTGGAGTGGCTTCGATATTTCTAAGTAGACTCTAAGCCTATAGGTTCCCAAGTCTTTGGAAGTCGCAGAAGGTGCTGGGAGGGAAGAATTGCCTGTTCCTTGTTTAAAAAGGGTTGAAGTTTTTGTTTTTATAGATGGGGACTTTCAGCCTGGTCTATGTAGCTGAGTTTGGCTGCTAGCTTGAGGTAGTCCTCTCAGCTTGAGGCAATCTTGAGATTGACAGGCATGTACACCACTCCTCGTGAGTTTTGAGGAGGCGATTTATGCTGTCGGGATGCCTCACCTCTGAGGGTTCAGGAGAGAGGACAGGCCTTAACACTGACTCCTTTCTCCGACTCTGATCATCCCTGCCTGGCCAGTCATTGACCTGCTGACCGTGGGCGAGTCCCGGCAGACGGCAGCTGTAGCAGAGAAGATCCGGACAGCTTTACTCACCGCTGGAGACATCTACCTCTTGTCCACATTCCGCCTCCCCCCAAAGCAAGGTGGTGTCCTCTTTGGGCTCTACTCTCGGCAAGACAACACCCGATGGCTCGAGGCCTCTGTTGTGGGCAAGATCAACAAAGGTGACTGACTGGTGGGCACCTCCTTTCCTGACATAGTGACCCCTTGAGCAGTCTACTTATCCCCGCTCCCAGGTGCCTCTTTATTCTTCTTGACTTCTATTAAGGGACACCTGATATGGCAGTACCCAAACAGTTGGTAAGGTCTGGTATTTATAGGGATGGGTGGCAGGTTGTATGTGGGAATGCTCAGAGGGCAGGGGAGGAATATCTGCGTCCCAGGAGTAGTAGAACCACGTAGAGTTTGGCTAAAGTTCAGTGGGTACAGATGTAGCTGTTGCCTTGGCAGAGGATAATTATTTGAGGCATTGAGAACTAGTAAGGTCCTCATCTAAGGTCAATTTGAAAAACATTTATTGTGCATCTGTTACATACAAGGTGTTGAGAGATACACATAAAAGTCAGGAATTGTCTTAAAAGATGTGGTATCAGCCAGGCGTTGGTGGTGCATGTCTTTTATTCCAGCACTCAGGATGCAGAGGCAGGCAGATCTCAGTGAGTTCAAGGCCAGCCTGATCTACAAAGTAAGTTCCAGGACAGTCAGAACTACACAGAGAAACCTTGTTTCGAGGGGGAAAAAGTGTGTGTGTGGTATCTAGTTGAGCAGTGGTGGCGCACACCTTTAGTACCAGCATTCAGGAGGCAGAGGCAGGTGGATCTCTGAATCCAAGGCCAGCCTGGTGTAGAGAGTGAGATCCAAGGTTACACAAAGAAACCCTGTCTCAAAAAAACAAAACAAAAACCAAGGAGACAGATGGCCGGCGGATGGGGAGACAGTATCTAGAAATGATCCAAGTCTATAACGATGGGAAGGGGGCTAGTGCCCATACTGACATCCACTCCTGGGCAGTACTGGTGCGGTACCAGCGGGAAGATGGCAAAGTCCACGCGGTGAACCTACAGCAAGCAGGCCTGGCTGATGGACGGACACACACGGCTCTCCTGCGACTCCGAGGACCTTCTCGACCCAGCCCTGGCCTGCAGCTCTATGTGGACTGTAAACTCGGCGACCAACATGCTGGCCTTCCAGCCCTGGCCCCAATCCCTCCAGCAGAGGTCAGTGGCCTGGAGATTAGAACTGGACAGAAGGCTTATCTGAGGATGCAGGTGAGAGGGAGCAGCCTCTGGTCTGGGGGGAATGGTTTGTAGCACCAGGAGCCGAGCTGCTAGACCCTCCCTCTCTGCTTGCTGACCCCTAGGGCTTTGTGGAGTCGATGAAAATTATTATAGGTGGCTCCATGGCGCGGGTAGGAGCCCTGAGTGAATGTCCATTCCAAGGAGACGAGACCATTCACAGTGCAGGTGACAGACTCCGATCCTCTCCACTTCCTCCCGCTCAATGCCCGTCCCTTTAGCACGCCCATTTCCGAGGCTCTTGATGGTACAGCTGCAAATCTTTCATCCCTGATGTCATGAAATCATCTAAGGCTCTGGGGAACTCTACGGGGTGAGGAGATGCTAGTCTCAAAGTCTCTGTAGCCCCTCTTGACAGCCGTCACCTCCCAGTGGGTAGCACCTCCAGCCGAGGCCTCTCACACTGGTCTCTAACAAGGGTGCTCAGAGGCCCTTACCTAAGCAAACACCCACTTCCCCCAGAGACTTCAAAGAGTTCTTCAAGTGGCAGCTTGGGAAAGGGCTTGAAATGGAATGTCCTAGTGCCTTGGCCTCTCACTGGGAGTCCTCCTGGTACTCCTATGCCTGGGATCCAAGACTTGGGTTTTCAACTTCCTTTGAGGCGGTGCCTAGGGGGCCTTTAGGCCTTCGGAAAGGGCTGTGCTAGCCGAGCGGCGGCTGCCCGTCTGCTGCCCAGAAGGCTGGTACTGCAGCACCTCTGCCCTGCTCTGCAACACCTCGTCTTCGCTCAGGCTCCGGCCCTGGCCCTGGCCCAGACCCCTTTCCCTGCCCCCTCCTCCCAGCAGCCCACCTGACTGCTGTACTTCTCCTCTAGTGACCAGTGCGCTGCAGTCCATTTTAGGTGAGTCAACCACGAGGCGGTGATTGAGGCGAGGGCAGTCCTGTCATGGGTGGGGTTTAAAGGTGTGGTGTGAACTCGGAGACCGGAGCTTATAGTCCAGAGAGGGCCCAGGGTGAATCCCCACTGCTGAGTCTCTCCATACTCTGGACCTTGGCAGGGGAACAGACCAAGGCATTGGTCACCCAGCTCACCCTCTTCAACCAGATCCTGGTGGAACTGCGGGATGACATCCGAGACCAGGTTTGGCTGGGCCGGCCAGGGAAGCTTCTGACGCTGGGGTGGGGTGGCGGGTGCGGAGGGCTGACGGCTCATCCTCCATCAGGTGAAGGAGATGTCCCTCATCCGGAACACTATCATGGAGTGTCAGGTGTGCGGTGAGTGGGTGAGGAGAGGAGGGCTCCAGACGGCACTGCTGTGCTTCCTACTCTGTGGCTTCGGCGTCCCTTCCCGGAGCAGTGACCCTCGAGAGTGGCTCTGACTGTGTCCACCTCCCAGGTTTCCACGAGCAGCGTTCCCACTGCAGCCCCAACCCCTGCTTCAGAGGCGTGGACTGCATGGAAGTGTATGAGTACCCGGGCTACCGCTGTGGGCCCTGCCCGCCTGGCCTACAGGGCAATGGCACCCACTGTGATGACATCAATGAGGTGAGGAATGAAGGCGCCCTCAAGGGTACAAAAAGTTGGATGAAGCTGGGCAGTGGTGGCGCACACCTTTAGTCCCAGTCCCAGCACTCGGGAGGCGGAGGCAGATATCTCCGTGAGTTCAAGGCCAGGCTGGTCTACAGAGAGAGTTCCAGGACAGGCTTCAAAGCTACACAGGGAAATCCTGTCTCAAAAAAAGAACAGAAAAAAAAAAAGTTGGGTGAAAGTTGTGCAAAGCAAAGGAATTTAGGGGAGGTCAGAGAGCAGCACAGCCAGGCTGGAGGAAGGGGGCATAAGATAGACTGGAAGGTTGCACAGTGAAGGAGCTGGTGAAGAGGCGGAGAAGTTTGAGATGGCCAGCCAGGGGAAAAGGAGCACCGTGAGGTTGGGCTGGGAGCTGCAAAGGGACCACATACAGTTGTCTCACCTTCCCAGGCAAATGCCTGACTTCTGCCTTCTCATTTGGTCCGCAGTGTGCTCACTCTGACCCCTGTTTCCCGGGCTCCAGTTGCATCAACACCATGCCTGGCTTCCACTGTGAGGCCTGCCCTCCAGGGTACAAGGGCACCCGAGTGTCTGGTGTGGGCATCGACTATGCTCGGGCCAGTAAACAGGTCAGACTGTGTAGTCTATGTGGCTTTCCTGTAAATGAGATGAGGCTGTCCCACTCAGCTCTTTGGGTCTAAACTGCACGTCTAGACCCGCAAAGCCCCATCATTACTGACTTGTGGATCTGTGAGACCCGCCTCAACTCTGCCCTTTTAGGTCTGCAATGACATTGATGAATGTAATGATGGGGACAACGGAGGCTGTGACCCAAATTCCATCTGCACCAACACGGTGGTGAGCTGAATGCCCTGCCCTGCTCAGGAGTGGCGAAGGGGGACTGTGTAACCCCCTCTTCACATTTCCCGTTTCTCCCTCTCCGCTTGGGTGCTACTCAAGTGCTCCTGTGAGCCTGGCTGAGATGCCCAGGCTCTGCCTGTTACTAGGTGTGACCTTTGGCAAGTTAGTTAATCTTTTCGAACCTCAGCTTTCTCATTTGAAAAATGGGGAAAAGAGAACCTAAGGGAGACAGATGTGTCTGGTGTGGTTCTAAGTGTCTGTCTTATATTCTGCAGGGCTCCTGGTGAGTTCAGCCTTCTTCCTAACTCTACTCTTAGGGGTCTTTCAAATGTGGTCCCTGCCGTCTGGGATTCCTGGGAAACCAGAGCCAGGGCTGCCTCCCCGCAAGGACCTGCCACAGCCCAGCCCACAGCCCCTGTCACGTCCATGCTCACTGTCTCTTTGAACGCAATGGTGCAGTGTCTTGCCAGGTAACCCGGACCTAAAACAGGAGACAAAAAGGGAGGGAAAATGTGTAAGGCTAGTGAAAATATCTAGGGACTGACCTAAGTGCCTTCATGGGAAAAAGAGGGAAGCCTGTCCCTGGGAACCCAGAGCAGAATTGTAGGTCAGGGTACGGGGATGGCAAGCCAAACTGCTAATGCCTACTGTATGTTTTGCCCTAGTGTAATGTGGGCTGGGCAGGGAATGGAAACGTGTGTGGGCCTGACACAGACATCGATGGCTATCCGGACCAGGCGCTTCCCTGCATGGACAACAACAAGCATTGCAAGCAGGTGCAGGGCCACAGGCTGGCTGGAGGGGTGGGGGGGTGGCACAGGCTGGCTGGGGTGGTGGTGGTGGCACAGGCTGGCTGGGGTGGTGGTGGTGACACAGGCTAGCTGGAGTGGTGGAGGGGTGGCAAGGCTGGCTGAGGGGGGTGGCACAGGCTGGCTGGTGGGGTGGGGGGTGGCACAGGCTGGCTGGAGGGGGGGTGACACAGGCTAGCTGGAGGGGTAGGGGGTGGCACAGGCTGGCTGGAGGGGTGGGGGTGGGGTGGCACAGGCTGGCTCACACCGGGACTCACCCATCCTCTTCCTCCCTCTGAACCCCAGGACAATTGCCTTTTGACACCCAACTCTGGGCAAGAAGATGCTGATAATGATGGTGTCGGGGACCAATGTGATGACGATGCTGATGGTGATGGCATCAAGAATGTCGAGGTACAGCCGGGTGTGGTGGTGGCACACCTTTAATCCCAGCACTCAGGGAGGCAGAGGCAGGCGGGTCTGCAGAGTGAGTTCCAGGCCAGCCAGGGATACACAGAGAAATCCTGTCTCAACAAAACAAAACAAACAAACAAAAAAACATGTCAGCTGGGTGGTAGTGGAATATACCTTTAGGTATGGAGGCTGGAGAGATAGCTCCGTGGTTAAGAGCAGAGAACCCAGGATCAGTTCCCAGCACCCACATGGCAGCTGACATCCACCTGTAACTCCAGTTCCACTTATGGCTCCATAGGCACGGCACAAACGTGATGCAATAGACATGTATTCAGGCCAAACACTCACACAGAAAGTAAAAATGAATATTAAAAAAGAAGAACTTTGAAGTCATCTTGCAATGGTGGCATGTGCCTGTAATCAGCACTTAGGAGATGGAGGCAGGAGGATCACTGCAAGGTGGAAGTCAGTCTGGGCTACAAAAGGAGACCCTGTCTCTAAAAGGCAAACAAGGCCAGTGTGATGACTCAGCAGGTTAAGGCACTGGCCACCAAGCCTGGTGACCTGAATTTAATCCCTGGGACCCACATGATAGGAAGAGAGAATCTACACATGTACTAACTAAATAAGTACATAGAAGAAAAAAAAGAAAGAGGTGAAGTGAGACCAAAACAAGAACCAGGCCAGAAATGGTGGTGCACACCTCTAATCCCAGTACTCAAGAGGTGGAGGCAGGTGGGCATCTGGGGATTCAAGGCCATCCTGGTCTACATAGGTGAGTTCCAGGCCAGCAAGGGCTACACAGTGAGACCTTGTCTCAAAACAAGCAAACTCACAGAAAACCACTCAAGAACCAAAAACAACAACAAAACCAGCAAACAAAGACCTCTAAAGTCAAAGGATGCTCTCTCTTCCCCTCTCAGCCTGTGCTCTCCCCAGAGTGTAGTCTCTCTCGCTGAATCCCATTGTCCTGCCTCTTCTTGGCCCTGGGCGATTAATTCCCCAGGATAGTCCCTATGACATGAAGTGTGGTGTCTAGACAAGATAGACTATGTGGAGATTGGGCGGGTGGGACAGCATGAAGCAGGGGACCATTACAGGGTCTTATCTTTGACGAGGACAGGGACAAAGTAAGTATGGGGCCTTCTGACCCTTCATCTCCTACCCCCTTGCCCAGGACAACTGCCGACTATTCCCCAACAAGGACCAGCAGAATTCAGACACAGATTCATTTGGTGATGCCTGTGACAACTGTCCTAATGTCCCCAACAATGACCAGAAGGACACAGATGGCAATGGAGAAGGAGACGCCTGTGACAACGATGTGGATGGGGATGGTGCAGGCCTGGGGCCGAGGGGGCGGCTGGGAGAGGTGGGGAAGTAGGCTTAGGGACACTGGCTGAGAACATGAGGGGCTACAGGTGCTCTGTGTGATGTGAGTCCCATAGAGTGTACGCAGGTTTCCCGGCAAAGCTTAGGACTTTCCCCAGCAGAGAAGAGCATGACAGCCTTGTCTCTCATATCTACTAGGCATCCCTAATGGACTGGACAACTGCCCTAAAGTACCCAACCCACTGCAGACGGACCGCGATGAAGACGGGGTGGGAGACGCTTGTGACAGCTGCCCTGAAATGAGCAATCCGACCCAGGTACAGGGGAAGGTGGAGAGTGGGGGATTGGTGGGTAAGGCCTAGACCTTTAAGAGGCGAGCTCACCCTCTCCAGAGTTATGAGGAGATGGTGAGATCAGACCCCTCTCTCAGACAGATGCAGACAGCGACCTGGTGGGGGATGTCTGTGATACCAATGAAGACAGGTAGGGTCTGGGCCAAGAGATCCAAGGTCTCCCAGGGAATACGGTCCTCTTCTACACTCTCAGCTGCCCCATGATGTAGCCTTGGTTCATTAGCGCTCAGCAGGGAGTCACGCTCACAGTCTGCCCTATATCCCTACGTCTGGATGCGGGCAGGCAGGCCCCAGACAGGCCCCAGACGGTGAGAAAGAGATGGAACCTACGTTTTCAGACGGTACTTGTCGCCCTTTCTTCTGAGCAGCGATGGGGACGGGCATCAGGACACCAAGGACAACTGTCCCCAGCTGCCAAACAGCTCGCAGCTGGACTCGGACAACGACGGGCTCGGGGACGCGTGTGACGCGGATGATGACAACGACGGCGTGCCAGACTACGTGCCTCCCGGGCCGGACAACTGCCGTCTGGTGCCCAATCCTAACCAGAAGGACTCCGACGGTAAGGCTGGGCTCCCAGAGATGGCTGGCCACAGTGATGCAGGCAGACCCGAAAGGGGTGGGTTTCATCAGTGGCCCCGCTCTGCCCAGGCAATGGTGTTGGTGACGTGTGTGAGGATGACTTCGACAACGATGCCGTGGTTGACCCCCTGGATGTGTGTCCGGAAAGTGCAGAAGTTACCCTCACAGATTTTCGGGCCTATCAGACTGTGGTTCTGGATCCTGAGGGTGATGCTCAGATTGATCCAAACTGGGTAGTGCTCAATCAGGTATGCAGGGCAGTGGGCTGGGCAGGTGCTGTCAGACCAGACCACCTGTTGGTACCTGGGTGGCATCTGAGTACCTGGATCAGGGCTTTTTAAAAATTTTTTTCTTTCCTTAACAACCCCAGGGCATGGAAATTGTTCAGACTATGAACAGTGACCCAGGTCTTGCAGTTGGTATGTAAGGGATACCCAGCTCAGTAATTCCCAAAGGGAAGTCTGCTAGAGAGGGTAGGGAAAGAGCCAGATGGGGAGGATGGGCGGGACTTACTGCATGACTCAGGCCCTACATTCAACAGCATCTCAGCCCCCAGTACTCGCCCCACCACGGGCTACCGAGTAGCTTTGGTGCCCCTAACATTTCTCCCACTCCCACCCCAGGATACACGGCTTTTAACGGTGTGGACTTTGAAGGCACTTTCCACGTGAACACAGTCACTGACGACGACTACGCAGGCTTCCTCTTCAGTTACCAGGACAGTGGCCGCTTCTACGTGGTCATGTGGAAACAGACAGAACAGACCTACTGGCAAGCCACGCCTTTCCGAGCCGTGGCCCAACCAGGGCTGCAGCTCAAGGTATTCCAGCGACCGATTTCCCCAACCCACTGACTTGGCAAATGCTGTTCCTGCCCAGCCTCAAGGGCTGCACTGCCTGCCGTCTGGGCTGGGCACCAGCTGTGTGGGGCTCCAGGGAATTCGCTCAGTTCTTGACTCCCTTTCTCACTAGCTACCATCTTTTGTCTCCTTTCACCCTGGTCCTGCGGTTGACACTCTGTCAATAACTCCCAGGCAGTGACATCAGTATCGGGCCCAGGTGAGCACCTCCGAAATGCTCTGTGGCACACTGGCCACACCCCTGATCAGGTACGACTGCTGTGGACTGACCCACGGAATGTGGGTTGGCGTGACAAGACATCCTATAGATGGCAGCTGCTGCACCGGCCCCAAGTTGGCTACATTCGGTAAGTAGAGGGTCCGAGCCCTAGGCAAAGGGGAGGGGCAAGACTCAATCTCCCATGTCCTCTAGCTAGCAGGGACTCAGTAATGTGGCCTTCCCTCTGCTCAGTTTCTTGGTGCCAAGGGTAGAGTCTGCAGACAGTCTCTTCCATTTCTCATTTCAGCACAGAGGAGGTGGTATCAGGCACACCATTCCTCTGCACCAAATTTCCCCTTGAAATCCAGGGTTTCGGGCTAGATGCCTTCCAGTTCTCTCGAGTATCTAGGCCCCAGGCGGTCTGTAGAAGAGCCCATCACTTCCAGCCCCTTAAGTGTCCAGAACTTGCTCCAGCAGCATCTGACTTTGGAAAGGGACCATAGCTTCCATTAGAGAAGCCGGAGGCCCGTGACTTACAAGCCTCTCAGTTTGGCATCTCCTGGTCGTGTCCCTGGTCGGTGAAAATGACTTGAGAAGGGAAGGGGAAGGAATCTGCTTAAAAGCTGGACTTCCTGTAGCCAAGAGTCTAGAATCCTGGGGGCTGAGTTGGTTTCTCTTTAAGGTATCTAGAGTGGTGGGGCGCCAGGGCCAAGGATAAAGGGGGGGTGTGGACTAGAGCCTGGGAAGCGGGTGACTTCACCCCCAGCCCTTTGTGCTCATTGTCATAGCAACCCAATCCTTGCTAGGAATGTGCTGGTGCTTTGAGATGCAAAAGTGGCTGGACAAAGAGCTAGGGGCCCAAGGCCTGAGAAAAAGCACCCCTCCCTCCCCTTTCCAGCCTTCCCTCAGGACTAGTGTGCACAAGGTGGGGGGGGGGCACAAAACCCCAGGACATGGTGGCACAGAGCCCACTGGCACCTTAGCACCAATGATACCTCTATCCTGGACAGGGTGAAGCTCTATGAGGGTCCCCAGCTAGTGGCGGATTCTGGGGTGATTATTGACACATCCATGAGAGGGGGGCGTCTTGGTGTATTCTGCTTCTCCCAAGAAAACATCATTTGGTCCAATCTCCAGTATCGCTGCAATGGTGAGGCTCTAGTCGGAGGTCAGCTTGACCGTGCCCTGGGAAGCCCTCATCCTCTGACGGACTTGTTTCCCTTCTTCAGACACAGTGCCTGAGGATTTTGAGCCATTCCGGAGGCGGCTGCTCCAGGGAAGGGTGTGAGGAGGTGCTGCCGGATTCAGAATTCCGATTGTTCCGGAGACCCTGGGTCTAACCCACAGCCCCTCAGCCTAACATGGTTCTCTGGCACCCATCAGGGAGCTCAGCCCCAGAGGGGTAGTGACCCCATTGTGCAGGGGCTGGGGGAATTTCAAGGGGGTATTGCTCAGGCACTGACCCCAGGAAAGACATCAGCACATTGCCATAAAAGTTACAGTTATTTTCTAAGTCAGTGCAATTACTTATTTTAGGCCTTTTCTAGGACAGAAAGGAACCTGAGGGGTAAGAAAGGCTGCTAACTGCAGGTAGAGCTAGGGAAAGTTTGGCCGAGTTGGAGTGTGGATGGGAAAAATACCAAATGAAGGACAAGGCTGGAGGATGGCTGAAGTCCTTCCAGCCCCACTTACTCACCGTGGCAGCAGCGACACTTCAGTCTAAGTTCCGCAGGGATCGAAAGCCCAGGGCCGGGGCTGCCCCGCTTGGGTGAGGGGGCGCCGGGGGGGCCGAGGGGGCCGGAGGCCGGGACGAGTGCAATATTGGCGGAGGAAAGAACAACACTGCACCGCGTCCCGTCCCTCCCGCCCGCCCGGGGCCCCGGAATCCCGCTCCTTACCACCTGGGCCTTTGGAGCCCAGGGACTGGGGGCGCTCTGGGGAATTGGGGTCACCTTAGAGGTACACCCGAGCCTGGGCGCCCCAAAGGGTAAAGGGGAGGGCGAAAGGGAAAGGATGAGGAGAGAAGGGGTGCCCCCGGTGTTCGGGAAGGCCACTTTCCGACGCTGAAGCAGTGCGCGCGCTTGCTCTTTAAATACTGAGACTGAGAGGCGCGGAGCTATTGCCATGGTGACCGGTATCCCAGCAACCGAATTGAATGGCTGTTGCCTGGCAGTTCTAGGAGTTGGGGTTTGGGACCGCCCACCTAAATACTTGTGGGCGCGCTGACGTAGGGCATCCCCACTCTGCCTGGAGCCGGCCTCACAAAATCGCTCGGAGGCACGACACACGGCGGGAGCGTGGGTCCCATGCCTCCGTTCATGCACCTCCGAAATGCTTTCTAAAGTATTAGCTTCCGTTTTATATTCGTTGGGACTAAGAATTGTTTGCCTACTACATTTGTAACTGCTCCTGTTGGTTTACACTGCAACCTACACCTGCAGGATCTGACCTGGTACCCTCAGTCCACATGCTGCTGTGAACCGAAAGCCCTCCCCGTCCCCAACTATTTCTGACCTTCAGAATACCTCTCCTCCCTAAATACACACGAGTTTGCCCTGCACCATGTGCCTGTCCGTCCCAAATACCGTTCCTCTCCCAAATACAACTCTGAGCTCCCAAATTCCATGGTTGCCCCATCTACTATCTGCCTAGATGCCTGCATACAACCTGTCCCCCCTCCAACATTCTGACGTCATCACACAACTTGATGCCCCCTTCCACATACCTTGGGACTCCGTCCACTTAGCATCATTTCCCTCAGACACCAACCCCAGAAGTCTGAGTATCCCAAGTACTGACCCTTGCTCCTCCGCTGCACTGTGCATTCCTTCCGATCTGTCCTAGGCATTGATCCTTTTCGTTAAGGCCCATCAACGTCCCTAAGATCTGTCTCTACTTGGGTTGTGCTGTCTGTGTCTAGCCTTCTCACTTAGCCGATGCGGGTCGACCACGCGATGCTCCACGCTGACCACTAGAGGGCAGGCGTTCCCGACCAGAAGGACCGGCCAGCCTGTCACTCAAGGTGGAGAGTTGGCCAGGAAGGACCTCAGGCTTCGGTAGAGCCCCAGTTTTGTCCTTTTTAAGTGGAAATTTACTTCCACCGCCTTTCTCAGAAGCAAGCCAAAGAGGGACCCAGGCTACTGGAAAGTCTGGCAGGGGCGGAGACTGTGGTTTTCAGAGTACAGGGAGCGGCTAGAAGGGTGGGGCTATTCCGGGAAGTAGTGGTGGGGGTAGCCTGAAACTAAGCGACCTGTCCACTATTATCCAGCCCCCTTGTGTCCTCTCAACCTATGAAAAGCGGGTTTCAAGGACCCGCAGAGAGAACAGGAAAAGGGATTGGGGGACCTAGGGATGGGTTTCTCTGGGTTCAATGCCTGTCTGTGCTGCCTTTCCTCAGCTTGGCTGTTGCTCTGGGTCTTAAACCAGAGCCAGGAGGTCCCAGGTTTCCTCCACATACACACCTGGGGAAGTCAAGAACTGGTTTGTAAAAGGGAGAGGCCAATTGGAGAATAAACAGGTTGTCCTAAGATTGAGTGATTGGAGCCCAAGTACCCTACACAGAAATGGTTGGGGAGGAGGAGGAGGAAAAGATAGAGGAGGGGGGGGCGGAGTTTTGTTACCTGTCACCTGCTCTAGCTGTGCCTAGGGCGGGAGGGGTACTGGTATAAAGCAGCGGGCACCAGAGCTGCTCCATCGCACACACGCCACACCCGCCTTGAGTCTGTTTCTGCCCCCTTCCCGCCTGCTCACCACCACCATGACCCCAGGCGTCCGGGCGCTTTTCTACCTGATGTTACTTACAGC